AGGGTAAAACGGGCCACTGCTGTCAGTGGTGAAATACTGCAGATGATGCACACGTCGTTAACATTTATATCGTAATAAATCGTATACAATAGTATACTTATATACCTTGAGTCACAACAAAAATGGGTGTGTGTAGGTGTTTGTGTATGTTTATGTAGAATCTATCTGGTAGATGCATGAACAAGTTTGACACCGGATGACTATGTAGGCGGAAAGAGTACGGTAAGTATATTTAAGCTCCACGGCCACAAGCCACAGCTCACTGCACTTGTCTGTTTGCCCGCCATCACCACAACCTTCTCCGTCAWCGCCACTACTACAGAGTACGCAAATATGGTGAAAACGTTTCAAAACTGTGTTTCAAGACGCATTATGTTTGCGTGTGCATGTACGTTTTTAAGTGTAAAGGGTAGATGAGAGAACACCAGTGAACCACAAAGATTTTGAATCAGAAGGTGGTGGGACACCATAAAAATAGTACCGGACAATAAAAACATCTTAAGGAAAGAAATAGAGGTCGGGCTGTATATAATACGTTTGAGCAGTAGAGAAAAAACGAAGTGAACGATACACGCACACACACACGCACAAAGCCACAACAAGCATTACACGTGAATTTGAGAAAAGAGTACTATAACGCACGACAGAAACATCAGCTTGAGATATATACGTATTTATAATATATATGTTTATATACGTGTGCGTGTGCCTGTTTCGGTGTGTCTATGTGTCGGTGGTGTATTCCCCTTTAGGGCACCTGGGTGAGAAATTACACATTTTTTCCACGTTTCCCTTCGCACCCGTACTCAAATTCAACCAGCCTCATTGCCAAATAAGAACGTTTCTCATCGATGACAAGCGGGTGTGGTTTGCAGGAAGCAAGTAGACATTCACGTCGAGTAGTTACCAAAAACGTACACGTAGTATAGTAGTTTTACCGAAGAAAAAATAGCCTCTCATAAGAAACAAAACGTGTAATCGATTGTTGACTTCAACTGAACAGGAGTAACACATATATGCCTGCGATCGAATCGATTTAGCTGTAGCACTACGACAGGAGTAAAATGTAGAATTGGTATACGAGGTAAGAGATCTGATACACATCCACAAGCAGTAAGTGAGAGAGATATGAAGAGAGAAACGAGGGTAAGATCGATAAATGTAGATATATAGTTAGGTAAAAGGATCAAGGAATAAATAGATATAGTGAAAAAAAAACCCAAGAACAGTGACTGGTAGAGAAGCAGTTGTGATGTTGCGAGGACTGCTGGTGAAAAAAGAGGGCAATAGCATGACATGAAGAAAGGGAAATGAAATAAATAAAACAAAAACAAAAAAGAGGTTCTGGATTTCCAATGTGTCTCGATTTGTTTAAATGTGCATATGGAACACATTTCAAACGTTTTTTTCGAGATTACACCTTTAAGTATTAATAATAACCATCCACATGTCCAAATACGTCAATATGTAATATGAAAACAACGAAACGATGGCAAAATCGAAACAATAAGACATCGAATTAAAATGTAAGTTGAACTCGAAAACGATTTAATACATTAACTGCAACAAACTGAAAGTAATAATATATTATATTCTTTTCCATCTTATTATTTTCGGTGTAACATTTATAGCAATAAAACGGTTTACGAAAGTGCACTCCGAGGACTTACTGTAATGGGATCGATAACGGACAGAGTAATCGTTGAGAGACTTGAAATCACTCATTCTTATATTATACAAGTATTTCCATTTTATTAAACTCAATTCTGATCCGATTTACAGCTTTTGAAAACATATTTTACAACGTAAGCAAAGAATCAACTATACGTATATTCATAATATGTCATTTTATTTAAATTATGGGTACTTAATGATGTTGCCATTTGTTTCAATTTACTCCAATCATTTTACGACGGAAATCCTTAATTAATTTTAATTTTAATTATTTACATAATATTTCGAGTTTTTTAGTTAAGTACTCGAATTAGGATAAAAATGTTTTTTATTTTATAAAATATGCCACAAAATAAGTTATATTTGAAAATGTATGCACAAAATCTTAATTGCATAGGTACATACATAAGGGACATCATTTAGATGTTAACGTCCAGTTGCTGGGAACATAACTTAAACTGACATTACAACAATTGATTTAAAGTGTAAACTGTAAATAGTTACTACCGTGTAGTAATCCAGCATTAAAAGTGAAGCTATATTTAATTATCAATTATTATTATATTCACGGTGAGGTGAAACGGTGTATTTAAAGAATTTCACTAAAAACACTTAAGTAGTAAGCCAATGAAGTATGAGATTATTTTCAATGCATGAAATCATATTCGAAAGAAATTATTTCACAATTTACTATTGCAAATAACTTGTAAATCACAACGTTTTAATTTTATCTTAGTTTTATTGGAAAACAAATAAATAAGCCGAATACTTTTTTGGAATCTAACTATCACTGTTTGACGTTCATATAGTATTTAAAACAGATTTGAATTTGATGTGTAATGTAATACTAATAACACGCGTCTTAATATTAAAGAGTCAGAGTTATTTTAATAGATAGTATTAAAATATTGGATGTATATTGTGTAAACAAAATTTTCTGCGAGTGATGTATTAATTAATGATGGATACTTTGGAAGTATAAAGTAACATAATTCAAACACTACAACATAATCAAACAAATATACTAAATTGGATAACAAATAAAAATAATAAAAATAATTTATTATATGTATGAAATTCTTAAATAAATGGGAATATGAAATTATTTCCATTAAATTCTAAAAATCATAAACGTTTTAATAAAAACGTATAAAATGTTACTGCACTTACATTAATTAAAAACCTTTTTTAATTAAATAACAATATTATACTCTCAATCATAATATTTTATACAAGAATATTTGATTTTAAATTATTTATAAATGTCGGTAGGTGTGTAAGCAGACAGTATATATTACTGCTATAAACAATTGCTATTCATGGATAAAAGTGAAAATGCATATTTATTGTCAATACTAGGAGCCAAGCCATACTAAATTTTAAAGAATTATTAAAACAGAATTCTTTTTTTTTTATTTTACAATATATAGGTAGGTATCTACCAATAATCTAGTGATTTTAGAGCATGCGTATTAGATATTTTTTTTTTTTTTGTAACTTACATACTTACATTCACTAACCCAAGAAAAGGTAAAATATAATACTACATCTAAAAATATCGTCTTTGGTTTATTGAAAAAACACATTTTTTGTCTCTTCCTAAGAATTGTAATAATGATCATATTGTAAGTATATTACCTATTATGTTTAAATGAATACAATATTAACGCATGAAAAATATTCCATATTTAGGTGTAAAAAATTTAACAAAAAAAAATTCTTACGCTTGTATTCATATGTCGTTAAGTTATTAATTGTAGAATTAATTTTTATAAAAATATTAGAAATGTATTTTGAAAACTTTTTTCGTGCAAATTCAAGTATGAGTATTTAAATATATACTTTTTAAAAGTATTTTTTACACGACTGCTTTTGAAGCTCTTTTGTACACACAAATTAAAATCAAGCTTTGGATTATTTTAATTGCTGAAGTTTTATTACTTTGCATTTCTTTATCGAGTTAATCAACACAAAAGAAAAAAAAAAAAAAGATTTATTTTTAATTATTAGCGTTTCACATTTTACTCGAGTTAACTGTGTTTTAGTATGAATATAGATGATAATATAAGGTATTATGAATTATGATAACTACACTAATTGATTAACCATGCCATATGCAAAATGC